ACCACTAGCCAACGTTGATAGGACCTTGGACCTAGGTTTCGTGCTAGTTGGCACCCACCAATCAGCAAGGCGTATCTGCAACCTTGGAAGGAACTTATGTCCCTTCTGAGATTCAAACATGCGTCACCCAGTGCTGTAGTCACAAACGTTATCACTGAGCTATTCGGGCCCGCGATTGACTTCCTACCGATTGGCTCCAACTATCTAATATCCTCAAATCAATGTGCACCGTGATGGCGAGCTATCTAGAATGGTGGTCACATTGCAAACCTGACTGACAGAATTCAGTATGCAACAAAGAAAGGACTAAATATGCTACACTAGTTACTAGTTTCCAATCGAAGTAGGCATATTAGCGTACCAGTCGAGTTCATTACAGTCATTACCGTTATAACAATAATTAGCAAGCACAGACATAGCAAAGTGACTACGGTTCTCATTCAGTTCAGTGTAGCTATAACAAATGTCTTCGGTGAGTATTTATCCTCACAATCGACTAGATGTACCCTACTGGTTCTGTAACCAATGTCAACTCAAGATGAAATCCTTTAAGAATTTCATGTTAAGATAAGTTGTATTTAGGAATTCAGTCTCTTCTCTAGTGAAAGTCGCTCATCCTTGCCTATGAATTTATTGGTGTGATTCTATTTTACAAATGTATATATATATATATATATATATATATAAAACTTATGTTAACAAAAAATTGTTAAAGGATTTCATTATGAGCTGAAATCGGTTAGAAAACCAGTAGAATACATCGAGTCTTATATCAGAAGCTTGAGAACAAGAAACTTAGGAAAATCATCAAAAGTCCAGACTTGTGTTAGTTAGACCTTCCGTTTATAACAAGGTTAGTAGAATCTTTTGAGCATGTTCTCCACGCTTATCAAATACATGATAACATTAAATTATCTTAGTGTTAGATATGTAAACGTTGTCAGTACCCTAAAGCAAGAACTTCATATACTGCAGATATATCTCCTCCCTACTGTCTTTGAATATTTGAGTCAGTTTCATGCCCTCAATGATCAATGAAATAGCATGCTGTTTGAATTAGTTTTTATTGTGCTAAACAATAGTGCGATTCGAATCACTGCACTATGATACAATATAGAAACTAGATCTATCTTACCGCAGTATTAAACTGAAAGGACAAAAGCTCAGATATTAGATGAACACAAGTCAATGTATATATCACTTTATTATGCAAATCATCGACAATTAATGAAATACCTTGTCGATGAGCAAATCAAGATATAACTCAGTTGAATAATCTTGTCAAATAGTGATATACATTACAGATAAATTGTTTGGAAATGAAGACAAATGTTTTTGCATCGATAAACGCGCGAAGGAGTTCTAGATCCAGCTTTTGAACTACACAACTGCTACTGCAGAGATTATAGTATCAAGAAGGCAAGGTGGATTAGCTAGATTAATAATATCAGTTTTAAAATGTTCATCAGTACTTCCACTTTAAATTCAAGTTATATGCCTACAGAATAGCAAAAAGATAAACTCTGACCAGTGATGCCTACTGAATGTAAACAAGACTTTCTGTATGAACAAATTAACGATAAGATTGTATAGACTGTCAGGTCAATTCTAGAAGCTGCTCAAAGTTGCATCAAAAACCTTAAATTCTTAGCTAAAATTGCATGTACGCAATGAAAGATGATACGAACTTATAAAGTTATTATTCAGTATGTTTGCATAATTAAATGACCATCAACAATTGTATTGGGAACTCTCGGTCTTGAATAGATTGAACAAGGGTAACTGCATGTTTAGCGACCAAGAATTTATAAGGTAAATGAGAATAAAATAGAAATTTAAAAGACTCATTAATGAACAAAGAATATTCTTTCCAAAAAATTCATCATCACGTTCTACACTTATATGACCATAGTAATTAGAAAAAGTTACTGATAGCATTAATGTTTAAAATTACATGAAACAAAGTGTTCACAGATTACATTTCAAAAGCATCATGAAGAGACATAATATGTATTATTATTGTAACAACAGAAGACAAGGGCCAGTCAACAGATCGTTTATTAAGGAAATCAACACATATTTATAGATTTTCATGTACATATTATAGATTATTGTTAGCAGAAAAACACAGTCTTCCGATTGGTTGTTTCTCACAGAAAGTTAACCTTGCATCTCTTTCTTGAATGTCGGATCATCTCTATGTTAACTGTATCCGCTTACATAAAGCCCTTGTTCTCATTTTTCTCACGATCAATATTGGGGATATAAACATTGACGTAAATTACTGTCCACCGATTTTGGCTAACAGCCCGCTCTCACCACATTATAACACAAAACTGAATATCAAATAAATTAAGGGAAGCAATACAGAATTCAATATCCGAGAGATGATGGAGAAAGACTCTGCAGTGCTTTGTGGCATATTTAGACAAGATAATCTAGTATAGAAATGTTCATTGTTTAAATGCAACCTTTACTTAGCTACACTGGTTGGTATTGCCAAGTACGAAAAACGAAGTTCCTAGAGCAATGACCGATATAACTGGCTCCACAAGAGCAATTGAATTGATCGATGCAGTTCGAGCTGGATAACCAGGGTACTTCGTCTTTTGGTTTCGAAATCACAGCCACTTGTGGAGAAAATGTGGATTTCAGCTTCGACGTTGAAAATGTGACTGATTGACAGATTCTAACAGTCACGAAGTCAAAGTGCCGAGCTTCCTGCAGGCCGCCCCCGACCACTCGACAATATATACATATATAACAGTAGAAGACAAACAACTTGGCAAAGGAATTTTTACTTGGTATCGTTACATAGCAGAACTATGTACACCTTATCTTCAACGCAGCAATTGCACAGGTCTTTCGTATTGTGCTACTACTTCTGGCCCTCATACTGTGTTCCTTTCACATCCCCCATGTTTCTCCGCAACGGCAAATCATTTCTTTCTCTGACATCAAATGTATGTCCCTGTTATTTGATATTTTTATGCCGATGGACATCTCTTCATATACTATTGACAAATGTTATCAGTAGTATACGCCACACAAATACTTATGTTGATGACCCGGGTCCTAAACAAGATAAACGGCTGTTCGGTGTTTACATCACTTCAATTAGGTGACTAGCAAGCATTACTGCTTGGCAGTATACACCTAATCATCTGAACCAATCAGCAATACGCATGGTTTAACGCATTTACGCTTAGTTCCTTGATTGCCATTAGTGGTATTAAGCAGACAGCACATATTGTAGTCTGAACAGACTCGAGTTTCCAAACGAAACTATAATGAAATAATCACCTCAAAGTTATTTGTTAGTTGTGAATTTGATTCAACTGACATCTTGCTGTTTCAATAGCTCGACATAACTATACGATTAATAATGGTGGTGAGAAGCGTGAGGTTATTTTCACTTTCATAACCTTGAAGCAATCACTCAAGATAATGGTTAGTCAAGTGTTTTCTAAATCGTTGAAATCCTTCAATCATAATATTTCACGTCATACAACAAAAGATTTTTGATATTTCAGGTTCCACTGGCGTTCTTCTTACTTCTACTTTAAGGATTTCAACTTGACCAGCATTAACATTAGTACAGTAGACAAAATCCTAGTGATTACTAGGCTTTGAAGATAGGAACAGTATAACGCGCGCAACGCATGAGCAAAACTTCACGGATTTAATTGTGTAGAAGACCAAGTCCTTTACAATACTTATGTTGTCAGGAATTTATTAGATCAAGTAATTTTTGCATATATATATATATATGTGCACAAACATATCAGAGAAAATACGAGCACAATGACGCTGCCTCAACAAATGAATGATTTGAACAAAAATATGAGGTGCATGCAGTGATTACGGATAAATTACAATGCGTCACCACCTATAACGAAACAAACTGGGGCAATGATGCTTTTTCAATCAAACAAAACAAAACAAAATTAAAATTTGAACAATGATAAACTTAAAATAAATTGATTTTAGAAAGAATATATATATATATATATATATATATATATATATATAGCGTATCAACAGATTAAAGATTTACAAGAATTTAAAAGAAGCTGTTTAAAATACAGGCCGCCTTTCAATATATACATATACAGAAGATATAATAAGCCTCTATAATTTTTTACAAGAAACTTGAAAATAATGACCGAGAAACAAAACAACCGGGATTAACAAATTCAAATTAAATTGTATCCAGTTAGAAATGCATGAAAAAAGAGAAAAGCAAAATAAGTAATAATGAAGGTAGGATTAATGATTCATAAAAGCATTAGACACAGCAGCAGCAGCGCAGACCAATTCATGCATAGATACTAACATTCAATGTTAGTATCTATGCATATTACATTATAAATAATCTGTCAAAATAATTCTTTGTACAATAAATAAATAAATAAATAAATATAAGGTATCCACAGAATTATAATCCGGTAAAACCTTTTCAGTTGCTGAATATTACTGTACATTTGATGTACCGGCAATCACTAGTTAAAGCATCAGAGATATGAGACATGAGGTAAGCGCTGGTACAAAGAAAATATGTAACGGACAAACGCATAATACAGACATTTTATGTCACTGATGAAGTAGGTCTCTTTGGAAGCTTTGATATGACAGATAAAATACTCATACACTAATTTATTCACAAAAATTAAAATAATGTTATAAAGGACGAAAAAATTGAAAGATGTGAATGGATGGTTGTTAACTGGTAAACCGAAGGCAATGATAATGAAAGAAAATAAATCTGTACAGAAATGCTAAACTAGCCCAAATTGGGTAATGAAGAACTGGTTAGATAATCAAATAATGAATGGAATATGATGAGTACGGATCTAGGAGACAAGTTGTTGAAAAATAAACGCGTCTGATGTCAGCGAATGAGTTGCGCGAGCAACGCGCTCAATCTTATTGAAATGAAATCAGTAGTATACACACCATAAAAGAAAACAAATTTAATAGATCACCCATTTTTATAAAAATCAACATACAGCTCCATTGTTGTTAGCTGATGACGGATCATTAGTTGATCTTTTCCTTTGTGGAGGAACACAACCCACTTTAGTTAAATTCAACTGAGCTTGAAGACTATCACGAATTCGTAAAAGAGTTTGCTCCACTGAGTCAAAATGACCCGTGACTGCATCAGGATGATACGAAAGACTTTCATTGTCTTTTGAGTTTCTCGAAGGATGCTTAGATATTGTATAAGAATACTTTCGAGTACTGGATACACGATTGCCAGAAACTCGATGATGCCAAGGAGCAGAGGTATGCCTTTCTCGGGCATATGACCGACTCTCTTGCCATACACGTATCTCATTATCTCTTTGTATGAAGTATTCTAGTGATCCAGGTACAGGGGCTAGGTTATCTGCAACATTTTTATCAGTATTATAATACGGAGCAATCGGACTATTCGAAGAAATAGGATATCCAGAAAATGAAGGCATAGGAGGTGGTGGTGGTGGGGGCAAGTTTCCAGGTGAAACTCTTAAATTACGATGTTTGAATTCCTCAAAGTTAACTTTCTTTTCGTAATAATTCGATCTATCGAAATGCGATGGCCTAGTAGACACTAAAGAATAATGAGATGTATTTTGATAGCCACGTCTCAAATTTTCAGGACCGGAACGACCCTAAAATCAAAAAAGACACAAACAAATAATGCAGAGTCAAATAAGAGTTAACTATACTTCGACCGAAAACATTTTACAAATACCAAATAAGCAATGCAATGTTATGTACAGCTTTGGATATCCTTAAAACAAAATGACCAACACTCAGAATCATGCTTACTTGGATAAATTAATTCTAGTCTTTATTCTCATTATTTAGTGACACCTAAGATTCACATGGGCAGTACATATATATATATATATATATATATATATGTCAGTTCCCACTTGCCTTTTCTAAGACTTTAATTCAGTTGTTTGCCCTCATAATTAAGCCAACTTTAAACAAAGAGAAGGTTAAAACTAATAATCACAGTGCGACGTACCCTTTTTAAATCCATTCAACAAAATAAATATCCGAAGTATGCGAAAAAGGATGGAGATGTTATGACATCTTACTTACATGGTCAAACTCTTTCATACGATATACGTCATCCAAAAAGTTTTCACATTCAAGGTATTCTGAAGGACCAAACATATTATTTGGATAACGAGATTTAGAAATATTGTGTGGGTTCATATCCAGTTGTGAAGTAATAGTGAGAACTGACTTTTGTCTTTCAACACGCGAGTCTGAAAGTACAGATTTCGGTGAACTGTGAGTTGAAAGTACTTTACCGGGAAACTTTACATATGGCTCAGGTGAACTACTCAAAGCTCCTTTACTGATGAAATTAATAGAATCTACGCCTTCAGTATCTTCTTCGTCGTCGTCATCATCATCATCTGGCGGTTCGCTTGGGGTACGAGGTCCACGTTCATTTATCTTTGAACAGATAAAATCGCGTTTGTTATCGACTTCCAATGTTTTCTCTGTGTGTGAATAAGACATTTTGGAGTCACTGTAATCATGAACAACTTCAGATCTGGTACTCAGTGACTTTATATTTTGCAGTAATTTGTCAGAAATATTGGCATCTATGGATGGTTTGGATTCATTGTGAAGATGCGGTAACTCAATAAGCAGCCGACTAGGACTGAGCAATGGTGGTGGGATTGTTATTTCCAAGTTATCAATGTTTGGACTTGATTGTTTCAATGATTCTTTCAACTCTTTGTTGTTTCGTTCCGCAGCAGGTGTAACAGGCAAACCACGTCGGCGGCGGTATTCTGTGAGTGAAACACGAACTTTGGGCATTTCTTGTAATTGCAACTCTTCAGTTTGTTGCTTCACTGTTGCTTTTTTCGGCGGAAGCTGAAAAAAAGGAGATGTAAGATGAATAACATCAATTCATTTCAAGAAATAAATTCTTCATGAAATATCTAAGGGAGAATGACATAGTGCGATTACAAATACAACTATTTATGACTATACATGAACACAGTGATGCTCGCTACATTCCAAAGAAAGTGAATCAAGCAACAGGGGATATTGAGTGTAATGAAAATGGTTAAACGTATCGATGAAATGAAAGAGCGAGTAAATTACATAGATTTAAAAAAGTCTTTTTCAGTGAATAGTTGATTTCATTATCACTATTGTATACATCATTACTGTTGGACAGAATATTAAGATGTATTCATAATATTCAGAAAAATTATTTAGTCTATGTATCAATAAGAAAATTTCAATTCCGTATAAAGTTATTATAAAATACTTACCGGAGGAGAATGAGGTGACGACGCTTCAGTAGATTCATCATCTTCAGGTAACTGAGAAACACTTACAGAGTCTTCATTACGATTCCCTAGATTATCATCTGATTCTTTAATTATATGGTCTGGTGAATATTGAGATTCTAAATGTTGAGGATTTTCATCAACTTCATGATGAAGGCAATTAGAGGCGTCTCCAGATATCTCCGAAAGTCGAGAAATCATTCTCTTTTTAGGATTGACAGGTGTTACGCATGTACTTTGTATACTTGATGAAGAATCCAACTTGACATTGGATGATGGATTGTTCATCGGATGAGAACAGTTTAACATTCGATGATTAGCTAGTTCTACATCTTCCTCCATGAGCGCCTAAATTAATTAACAAAATGAAATGAAAAACTGACTAACAGATAGTCTTAATGGTAATGTTTTTTTTTTATTTACAGCTTGATTCCACACTGTATTTTCGGTACAACTATGGAATTTTCAGCATGGATATCGGTAGCCCAAATTTTACAGGCCAACCATAGATACCAGGTGTGCGTCGGTGCGACCTCGAACCCCGGACCATGTGCATGGTCGGCGAGAGTCCTAACCACTGTGCCACCGATGCACAGTGGGAAAGGAATCGTGGCTAACGCAAACTGTCTAATGATGAATACATTTTATTGTTGCTAATTCAGATCTTCACCTCTTACAACACAGAAATAAAAAGTCATCACAGATATTTCCGGATGTAGTTTTTCCGTAACGTCTTGGTCTTCTTATAGGATAAACTTCGTTTCAGTTACACTTAAATTTGAAATCATTCAAGTTTCTATAATTCGCTTAAGTGGTGTCCTTAGCGACACTAAAAACTAATTCAGAGGCTTTCCTGTAAACGTTATCGAATTCACTCCTAGTCAAATGTGAGGCTTGTGCATTTCCAGCTGAAGAAAACAAAGTGAGTTCTAACAATCAGATAATACTTTTCAAACAAAAGTCCCACAGAGCATGAAAACTATGAGTAAAACAAAATAGTCAGGATTTGTAACGTAAAACACAAAAAAACTGTGCTTACTATATGGATAACAGCTCAGACTATTTACTACGATAGCGATGAATATATTACTGCTACAGAGTACTTAACCAGCATCTTATCAGACCTTAGAAATCTGTAACATGAAATAAAGACGGGGAATTGCGTTTCCTGAATATAGTTACACGGTCCCAAAGTAGGCTATCTAAGGTTGCCATTTACTCCAACTGCGGTATCAATTATCTCGATCAGAAAAAATCATGTTTAGTAACCCTAATCACTAGGCCAATATATTTAATGCGAATATATTTTGGTGACTGTACATCGGTAGTGCAGCGGTAGAATGCCCACCAACCACCTAAGTGGTCTGAGGTTCGATCCCCACTCCTAAACCTTGCTTGGCCAGTATTGAGTCCAGCAAACAGGGGAGGGTAGCAACCCCACCACCCTGTAAAACAAAACACCCTCACTACAGAAGCTTCAAAGACGGAGCTTGAAGACCTGTTTCCCTCGGAAAACAAATGAATAAAAAAAATCTTGGTGGCTAACTTTTAGATGAGGTTTAATGATCAGTGAGGTCGATTAAATTAGATTGAACGACGAATCCTCGTCAGTAACATTGAATGGTAGTGGTAATTTATCTTGGAAATTGACAAAAGCTGAAAATCATACGCTATCCGATTTTGATGCAGTGATTGTTGAATGGTAATAATACCAACCAAATAACCTGGCAATTCTTAGTGAGGCGACCGTAGAACTTCACACTACCTTCATACATCTGTTAGTCAGCGCCCATACTTGTGAAGCGATTGGATCTCAGATTTCTAGAAATCTAAGCACGTACTCTTAATTTTTGGAACCTGAAAAACAATAGGAATATTCTTTGATCTAAAAGAGGTGGCATGATGTCCGAGAAATTTTGTAGCATATCATACCATACATCATGAAAACTTATCCCACATAACTGTGTAGAAGTGGATACACTTAGCAATGAGCCACATCTACGACATAGGGGACCGGTGGTATATCCAACACCTGGGTTAGTTGGAGTGGGATCTGAACGTGTGATCCACTGGTTGAAGGTCAAATGTCAAATCCAATTAACCACAAAGTAATTGATCAAAGCATCCGAAACTGAATGTGGCTCGTAACACTGGCACATTAGAAATGTATACACGAGAAAGCTAGAGTGCATTATAGTTTCTATAAATGTTCTTACAATAACATTCGCATAACCAAAATTGTAAAAATTAGAAAGTAACTTCCAGAGTGCCTAAGTATTAAAATAAATGTGTGAAGGTCGACAATTAAATTAAAATTTAACTAACCCGAGACAACCAACGTTTCTTTGTAGGTCTGGGAGGCTGGTGTAACAAAGGTTGCGTCAGACAGGATACCGAGATATCGTCAACAGTGTAGCAGTCTTGTTTTGTATCAATCACGTCATTGTTTGAAATTTCGTCATGAATTTTTGTGAACAATGAATCCATTTCAATTGAACGAGTTCTACTAAACTTGGCCATCGGATCCTTTTCTCGAGTTCGATAAACTATGAAACCACAGTCAGCTTCAGAATCAAGGACATGCTGATTGTTACTAACCTGATTCGAACATTCGGTATCAATGCTGACAGATGTCTTGTTGAGGCTAGAATTTCCACCATTTTTTTGTTCATTTTCAGACGACTCACTCCTAACACATAAAGCTTCAAATAGTGAAACTCTAACATTCGATCCATCTCCAATAGGCCTATCTGATACCGAATGATTTCTCTCATTATTCTCCAAATCTGATGAAGTGTGTTGGGAAGTCTCTTCATGATTATCTTCTAACTCAGCGATACGTCGAAGTTGCATTTGTAGCCAACGATCTTCACGTGAACCACCTTGATCAATGGTAGATGATAAACTGTCAGAAAGCATAGCTGCTTGGGAACGCCGACGTCTACGTCTTGGTGACGAAGAATCGCGTTCATGGTCACCAGGTCTATTTCGTCGCTTACTTTGGGATGCAGCAGGTTGAATGAAGTACTTTGTCCGATGATCTGTACTGCTTTTCTCTAGAATACTTGTTTTATTTACAGGTGGGTACACATCCTCTTCCTCTTTGGTCTCTTGTAATGCTGCAGATTGATGAAAGTCAGATTGATAGCTAGATAATTCAAACTTTTCGAAAATATTAGTCGGCTGAGTGAAATCGTCAGCCTGCTCCTCATTCACCGTTACATCGATACAATCCTCAGTCGATCCATTTATTTCAAACTTTTGTTCAATCTTAGAAGTATCGAAGGATTCTTTAATGTCTTCACTTATTGTATCACTGTTACTTATGTTATTATTATTATTACTGTTGTCTGATGTTGAAGAACTTTCAAGTTTCTCAGGAGACAGTGATTCTGATTCACTTTTGGTATATTCAACATCCTGATCACTTTTCAGATTACCAGATGGCATACGTTGTTTTAATCGTTTCTTTTCCATCCGCTCAATACGACGCAATACCTCTGCCATCCATACATCCTCCTTTGATTTCTTAAGAAAGCAATGAAACAATTAGTTTTTATAATAAATCATCAAGTGAATAAACCAAAAATGTATCACAACTCTAAAGTAAGTAATAGCTGGTTAGTTAAATTAGTTTGACATCTAGATATACTTTGAAGTATGAAATACACAGCGAAAGCAAACTTGAAAATTAGATGCCCTGAGAAATGTAAATCAATTATATAACTAAGCACTGCTACAACTTAAGTACATGACGATGTCTTGTTAAAATTGTCCTTGTGAAAGGATATTAATTATGACGGGAAATTTTCTAGTATAACTATTGTGCTGTACAAAGTTTTAAGAATGTTGGTATCTCCTAATCATGTCTTGGCTAATCTAAACTAGTGAAAAGTCTTTAAATGAAAAATTTAGGAGTCATTGATAGTTCGTTAACCGATGATTTTGAAAAGCAGCGAAAAATGTTGAGGCGATATAGTTCGCATATTGTGAAACTATATATATATATACCCTAGGTACTGCATCGCTCAAGCAAACTCCCTTGAGGTTACAACAGCATATGATCAACAATCCAAGCGATTCTCATGAAGCCGTTTCAGATTTTAATACAACAGTTAGTACATTGGTTATTATTATTACATGATTGTTTTCCTTAGTTCCGAGAGGAACATGGGGCTTTAGCCGCACGTCCTCAGTGCGTTCGGTTCTCCACCAACGTTTTCACCTGGCTTAACGTCTGCCCATATGCTTCATCTCCTCTTCGCATGACATACTCCATGTCACCCTCGCACTGACGACAGACTCATCGCTTCACATTTGGGTTACACTCGGCAGAGAGCCTGGCGTGCGATGTCACTTGATGGTTTGTTTTCTCAGAGTATGACCAATCCACCTCCATTTCTTCGAGTATATTTGTTGCACAATCTGTCCCCGCTGAGTTGGTGGCCTTCATTGCTAGAGATCCCTGTTGCTGATCTTTTCTGGCCAGCCATCTAATATTGACTAGTATTGAGCGAAGACAGTTGTTGATGAAAGTCTGCATGCGTTCGAAGTGCCCTTCGTGACGCGGTGCCAAGTCTCTGATCCGTATAGTAGCACTGACTTCAGATTGGAGTTAAAAATCTGCATCTTGTTTTTCATGTTGAGTGCTATTGATCTCCACACAGACTTGAGAGTAATGAAAGCTCACCTCGCTTTGTTATCCGCATCAGCTCAGTCAGCCTGCAGTTGAAACGATGCTCTCCAGGTATGTTGAGGTTGCTTCTTTCAGATTTCTATCATTTATGTTGATTGTTGTTGGCCAGGAATAATCACCTGTTTTCTCTATATTCACCTAAAGTCCTATTTTCGATGTTTCTTCTGACAACTTTTTGCTGTATCTTACTTAATACAGTCATTTACAATCAATTAGTGTAAACGACAAAATTGAAAAAATAAGTTCAGGAGGATTTTTTCAAAACAAGTCTATTACAATAACTAACCATTTCATTTTCTTCATGAGATTTCTTTTTCTTACGCGACAAGACTTCATGCTTACTAGAGCTATTACCACCATGTGATCGGCGTTTCCCTTGAACGAAGAGTGATGTAGATTCAGTCTAAAATAAATAAACATTTCACTAATTAGTATGTTTATGATAAGTGTTGTATTTAACTAACAACATCTAAGATGACAGCTAATTTTGGATGGGAAAGTGAACTGAAATTTGAAACCAATAATTGTGAGTCTACACTTTGATGTCTTAAATATGTCAAAAGAAAAAGATTCCAAGCTGTATTCAAAATTTGGTTGAATGAATAACCTACTTCATTAGTATAGTACGTGGATAGTAAATATTTGTCTTAAAGGTTTAGATTACCCTTGTTCGCCCAATAGCTGCTACCTTGACGTGGTGGTCGGACTTCACATCGAAATGACCTAACAAGGTACACTGGCTGGAACTATTGTTCCTGCAGGTCCTACCATCTCAGGAAGGTTGTTAGAATAGAGATTAGACTAAAAGCAGTTACAGGTATAGTGTAAGAATTTTTTACACTATGCTGGTGGGCTGTGAGCGAAGTCGTACTGCTGGGGAACAGGGTGGTAACAGAAGTAAGGTGTTTCCTTCAGAAAACCAGCATGCCACCTATGTTGTTTTTCCACTCCAGAGAGAGGGGGTTAGAAAAGGTTGACCCCAACAATTGCACATCCCGACTTAGCCTACGGTGGTCCGTGACCGGCGGTAAGTTTACTAATACGGAACCAAACCAAGAATCCAATTCATACAGGCGTTTGTGACCGGTCGACCTCAAGTAGCTGTCTCCTGGGCTCTGTGATCACACAACACTAACGCTCTTTCTGTTTCAGGTACCCGAAGAATCAGTTAACTCCCACGATGTGGGGAGTCTGGAAGGAACAACCGCCCACACCTTGCCAAAAGCATACGAAGCCTCCCCGAGCATCATACCCTTTTACCTCCATCACCTTACTTCCCCTACTACGGTCAGTACTATTTCGCAGGCCAGTTAGTCATCTTCACCTCACTTTGTGACCAGAAACAAGGATGAAAGCCATAGACACCCCTGACAGTCTCACGTCGCCAACTTCCTGTAGGAGCATTCAACGTCAGAACCCACTACCAAATCAAACAACAGGGATCACTAGCAAGAACCCTGGCATTTCAAGCCATGGATGTATGTTGTGTTTCAGAGACACACATACAAGACCCGAGTGTGATCATTCAGTTAACCTCACCTGACCAACAAAGTGGATCTGCAAAACTCACTTTAAGGGTGTCAGTTGACACTTCAGCTAGTTCGCGAGGATTCACAGGTGTAGGCATGTCATTGAGTGTTAGGGCAGAAAAATCCCTTCTTGACTGGATCCCAGTAGATAGTCGTATGTGTGCGGTCCGTCTGAAGGGGTCCGTTAGAAGAAGGAAGGACGGCGTCACCCGTCGTTGTCTTCGTAGACTGCAGTTCGAATGAACTAAAAGATGATTTCTACCTGAAACTGTCTAATTTTCTGCAAAAAGCAAAACGTTCAGATAGAGTTGTTTTAGCAGGCGACTTTAATGCCCAAGTAGAGTTGTTTCAGAATAAGTATGTAGGTGGTACGTACGGAGTTCCCTGACGACGAACCGACAACGGTGATTGTCTTCTACAGTTCTGCGCAGATAGTCAGCTGTTCCTAGTTAGCGCTAACTTTAGGCACAAAGAGACAATGCGTAATTTAGCGACCTCCATAACCCAATCAATGTTGTACTCAGATAGACCACAAAGCGATAGGGTATCGTTGGCGAGGGTCAGTAGAAGACTGCTGCTCCTTCTGGAACACATGCATATACTCCGACCACGCTTTGGTCCGCGAACGCTTATGTTTACATCTAAACGGACATAAAAAAATTGTTGGCAGCGAATCAGTTACTTCCCCAACTAGACAGAGACACTGAGTTCCTTTTTAAAGAGGAAATAGTGAAAAGTATATGAGGTCGTCAGGTGGGCTTCCCCCTAAGGTAGCCTGGCAAAACATACAGTTAGCTGTAGACACAGCTGTAAAAGCTGTTAATAACATAAAACCAAAAGTTGGTAACAGCCATCGGATCTGTACCCCCTCATCCGAACTGATTTGCGCAAGAAGACTGATTCCGGAAAGCTCCGAATATGATGAGGAGCGGAAGTTGCTCAAACGCAAAGTTATAAGAAGCCTTCTTAATGACCATGAACAGTGGTGGGTGACAAAAGCGAAAAAGATGGAAAAGGCATCGGCGATTGGTAACACTAGATAACTATTTACGCTGATCACGGAGACAGGTGGTAAAAGGCAAATGATAAGTGAAACAATCTCTGAGAAAAGTGGCACCATAATTGGCTCCCAGGATAGATGACTGGAAAGAACACTTTTAGAAGTAATTTAATTGGCCTACAACCACACTTAAATTACCGAATATACAACACCTCCCTGAATGGGATATAGACACGTCCTCTATCTCTAACTGAAGTTACTAAGGCTGTCACTATTCCGAAAAGAGGCAAACCTGCACGACCCGATGAAATGACTCTAGAGGTATTTAAGCACGGTGGACACAGTTTACTGTCTGCACTAACTGAGATACTAGGCCGCGTCTGGGAATCAGAAGAAGTCCAGTCGGTTGGTGTAAGTTATTGATTATCCTGATATACAAGAAGGGAGACAATTCGTCGTCACAGGGGATTAACTTGACTAATATGGTATCTCAAGTTCTAAGCTCAATAAATATGAGTAAACTAAGCGATGCTCGGGAGGAACAAACACGAGAAAACCAAGCAGGCTTTGGACTCGGAAGTGGGTGTATTGATCATATCTTTACCTATCGACAGATTATGGTACATAGGCATACTTACCGGTGTCCTAAAGGCGGAATTCGATTCTGTCGACCGAGGTAATCTGTTAATTTTTGATTGTGACGGAAATGACGAGGAAATACATTGCACTGATTAAGGCACTCACTACTCGAACTCATGTAGCCAGCCAGATAAGAGCTCACGGCGAGTTGTCATCTGAAGTGGCGACAACCAGGGAAGTCCGCCATTTCTATTTAATTTCATCATTGATACACTAATGGACTTAACCCTAACTCACTTCAGCGACTCAGGGATTGACTTGTTATCAGGGAATAATAGTCTAGTTGAGCTAGTGGTGGTTAAACCAAAACGTGACATCTGTCAGTGAAATCCATAACAGTTAGTTTAGGCTGGTCACGTAGGTAGGTGTAGACTTCCTGGTTGTGATTGTCAGGATGGTGAGACCAATGGCGGCTGTAGACAACTGGGTGATATGGCTCAAAGTGATCGTTCTCGGTTATCGCAGATGCATTCACTCTTTGTGATTTATCATATACAATAAAACTATACGGTTCTTTGATATTACTATTATTTTTGCCTTATATCTTTGTTTACTGCCTCTACTTTGCATTTCATTTTGCTTTCTTCTCTTGCTTTGCGTGCTAAGTGAAGTATGGCGACTGGAACTGCTGCACATTGGTGCCAAACTTCTATGTTGAAACCAGTCAGCCTGATTATCGTTGACTGCTTTTAAGTAACAATTTACCTAGTATAGCTCGTAATTAGTTTAAAGTATATTTTAAAAGATTCTGAATTATGATATTGTGCTTTAACTTCAATAAATTTATAAATACATAAAAAAGTTAGAGAAATAAAATTGCCGAAAACGAGAAAGATGCTGAAACTGAATGGATTACGTTATAAATGCATAAAGAGACAACAAGATCTCTGATACTATCTAACAGTAAAGCAAGTTAATTTAGTAAGAAAGTAGTAATTCAGTAACTGAAAGGTATATTTCCCCTTTCACTAAACTGTATTGAAACGTCAAAAGATTAAACTTTTATATTGGTCGGTATCTTGATTAAAATTGTTATCCCTACTCGGATAACTTATAAAACACGAAGCACGTATCAACAATGAACAAATTGTGCGTGACTATTTAATGTGTTTAAAAACTTATAAATATGATGCGATTCCCACAGTAAAAAAGTTCGTTACTACTAATCTTCTCTGTTGTTACATAACAGCAGAAACAAACTGGCATAAATGCGGTTACAAAGCGTGAAAAAATCGGCAAAAATACTAGTTTCAAGGTAGATTTTACTGTGGATCTGCACCAGTTAAGGCATCATAGAAACCAGGGACTGCTGGATATGTCTTACTTTACTTTGGAACTCTTCAGATATACGGGGGTATGATCCCACTGGGAATCGAGCTCCAGGACCTTTAGGTTATGATTATTAATCAGCCATTGTGTATGAATTTAACACCCCATGTCATACTCTCCTGGAAACCTGAAAACCCTGGAGGTTAGGTTCCTGTTGGGGTGATGAGTAGCGTTGGTGGGTCCCGCAGTAAGATAAAACAGCTGTCCAATAGTCCTTGGTTTCAATGATTCCCTAAGTGGGGTAGGTTTGTAATGAGATAGACCTTGAAATCAACCAAATCCCTTCAAATCAACACTTGAAAGACGAATATGTTTCACCTCTCAGATTTTCAATAAGCATGAAGGCATCATCAGTTACATGAAGAGGCATCATTTGACTAGCAGCTCTACGTAAAAACCAAGATAATTGTAACCAGAGAAGTACAAAACAACACTGAATCCCTGAGAAGGTTTTAAATTACACAGTTTACGGTGTTCACTGCAGTCCACTAATTATTTCTCTAGTCAACAAATTATTGTTATCTAGTAACATAAATGCGAACCTTCACACAATACAATAGCACCGTGGATCACTGGATTAAACCATTTGAACTTAGTTACTCCGGACAAGCTTTTCATGCAGCATGATACGTGCTAAACGTGAGGGCTAATGATACCACCCGGCTGCGTAGACCACAAGTTCCAATTCCTCTATACAAACTGCGCTTGGGGAAGCCAGGTAGCCCCATCAGTCCTTATACTTCGGGTATGCGCGAGCATGCACGTGATTTTTGAGTAACATAACATATAAAAAAGCACATTTGTCCAAGTTGCCAAACTTTGTAACACGATACCATAAATAAAAGTAGTAGGCATTGAGTGATCAGATTGTCTACACGGTGAAGAACTAAAACGGGTATAATGCCAGAGAGTGTAAGGGAGTGAAGTGGTGTTACTGAGATTTTCGTGTAGGCAATTAATGAACAGAAGTTTAACTATTGCTCACGGTATTTAATCGTCCATTAAATTCTTAATAACAATAAAATTGCGTGAAGGTTTTTTAGTTGTGTCAAGTTTTATTCCTAGTTTAAACGTTCACTTATTGTTTACGTTTAAATTTTTCAGCTGTTAAAAGTAGAACAGATTTAGCGAAAAATTCAAGTGTTCGGGCAGGGTAAATATTAAGTGAGAACGGAACGAGTACTCATTAAAAACAAAAAACCCAACAGTTTTGTGCACACAAAGTGGGGAAATTTTTAAACAGCTACTTACAGATTTGTGTTTAGAGGAAGAATCTCCATAGGCTTCTTTTGTGGGTGCTACACCAGGCGATTTGGGAGAGTCATTTGTGGTACACACTACCTCTCTCGTTATCTTGGGACTATGAATCTCTCGGTGGTGGTAGTCATGGTATATTTCTGATATTCTGATTCATCTGTGCAATTTTCCGGTGTTCTAGTATCATACTCTGGCTCAGTGTCAGCATCTATATCCTCTTCAGTCAACGTATGAGGTGATATTGATCCAGATTCTTTGTTGTCAGGATCTTCCAGTTGGTCTGTTTCTTTTGGTGACTCCGGTTGTAGGTCACTCGTTTCATGGAGCAAAGATGATTCTATTGTATCTGCACATTCTGTTTCAGATGAGCTGTTACTCTGGCTGTAAGAATCATTACTTGTATCTACTCTTCTTCGTATCTTTGTGTATCTGTCATGAGGTGTGAGCTGGTTCTTATGCAGATTAGTAGAGATCTGAGGACGTTTACCGGTGGTTGTCAAGGATTTCTTCAAAGCAGGTCTACCACGACCAACTATTCTAGACGACAGTCGTTCGCTTACATGTTTACTGCGTAATCCCATAGAAGAACTTTTTAATCTACCACGTCCTCGCCCTCTTCGAGGTACAGATTTACGAACGCCGCTTGAAGTGACAGATTTCTTTATATAACCACGAGCAGTGTGACGAGAGGATGATTGGCTTGCTTCAAAATCCCTGCATAAGAGCGAAATTACACACAAAAAATAATCAAATTGAAAGAACCTAAGCTGTAAAACATTATTCAAGTTGCGTTATTTAAGTAATAATAAATACGCTGACAACTAGCTAGTAAAGACCCTGCGAGAGAAGGAAAACAGCTGCTCCAAAGTAACTAATCAGAAAGAAGTTCGAACTATTTCTGTGGTGGTGTAATACAGACAATGTGTGCCAACGGAATATTAGTCTTACATATTCCCAGTCAATTCGGCATTAGCAACAGAATACTTTCCCAACGGTTATATACTGTATTAACAACAGAATACTATGCATATTTCAAAATTGTATTTCTTGTTGTTTGACATAAACCGAAATCACACACTCTGATTGGTTAACGAATATAAACTGTGGATATATAACCAGTGGTTTGATGAATGAAATACCTTGGCTTCCGTGTCTTGCCTTCTGATGCTACACTTCTGCAGAAAAATTGGTCAGGTGTTTCCAATTATTTTGACAATTTATAATTTTTAAACTGAGGTTGTAATCAGTTATACACCAGAACAATAGCGAAATCTTTCCAGCAAAGACAGCATAAAGACACCCCAGTGAATAAATTCTCGAATAAGTGTAAACAATAATTTTGAAAACTAAACTAAACACCTATTGAACCGAAGCTTGAGTGAAACATTCCACAGTGACCGACCCATACATTAATGCTATAGATCCTGAAATACCGGGAATTTGTAACAAACACTGTAGTGAGAGGAAATCATATTTTGAAATAAGTGTTTGAACGATACTGACACACTGCCTACATTCACAAAGGCTGTTGTTAACAGGACACATAAAAATACAAATATTTATTAAGGAAAACTAAGAGACAGAGAGAAATAAAGGTGGAAATAACAAAAGCACAAATTGTAGGGGAGATAAAACTTGAATGATCTGGTCTGACTACTGTGACCTATTCTAAGCGACGTCATCTTAAGTTCTTCAGAGCAGACGTTGCTTAATCTTAAAATTGACAGTTTCTTGCGTGACTCGCAGTTAGGAAGTTCACTACTTACAGTTGTCCTGGTTGGGTAAATCCTAACATTTTCGACAGAACCATACACCAGCCAAGACATTCATTAACTGCTCTATATACCCAGTAGTTTAAATATAAAGCACACATTAATACGCGTAGAAAAGTGCCAAGAGAGAAGCCTGTCTCTCTTACGTGTGAAGTGATATATACATGCACTGACATGACCTCATTAGACAGTTTTATTCGTTTATGACTTCATTTTCTGAGGGGCTTCGATCTCATACATCCAATTAAATGTTTTCTTTATGGCTTAAAATTATTGAGGTCATTTTTCTTACTCCATCATTTGTCTATCTCAGTGTCGAAGATGTTTTCAAATGGTCACTTGGTCACTGAGAGATGTTCTGGGAGGGGGAGCATTCCAGTCATTTTGAAAGAACCCACAACCAAGTACAACTCCGTCGCAGCAAAATGGTCCGACAAGTCTAGTACTTTAGCATAGAGCAAATTAGTTTAGTCACCTTTCGAATGATCTAGTATATGAGTTGATATGAGAGCCAAAGGTGTGTTTTCTGTCTGAAGCAACTAAGGTATGAATGAAAGAAATTAGCAGGTCGACTCAGTTCGACTAATAAATCACAATCCAAACTTGATAAACATTGAGGTCATAAGACATTCTTACCCATTTGAAATATAGTTTGAAGAATGACGACCCGCCCGACCAATGTTGTTTCTTCTAGTGACCACTGCAGGTGACTTCGAATATAAGTTTGATTTCTCATCAGCGTGTCGTTTTTCGCCATAATTCAACTGAGGGTTTTGTGACAGACTAAGGTGGTCACCAATCCCATAAGTTCGAGGGGGATGTGGTAATTTACGAGTACATACCAAAGAATGACGAGTTGGACTTCGTGCAGGATTGGTTAACTGATTCATTCTTTGAAACCAACGAGTAACCGGACAGCCCTTAAGAACGCATGCACACTTGACGACATATCGGCAGGCAGTGTAGTCAAAATCGAATGGTAATGTTATTTCAGATGACTTCGGTATAAGTCGTGAAGCAACAACAACAAGGCGAAGATGAGGAACAGGTGACCCGTGTGCATCGTTTGAGAATGAAATGCAATGGCGAACCTGGAATGAAATTTTAAATTGACTGATAGGTGAATTAAAACACATTGATGAGTAGAGAATTACATCAAAATGGAAGCTGTAAATAAGTGACTTACCAAAGCAAAGTGATTTAAGACAGGTTAGACAAAAAACAACACAGGAGAAACACGGTGTGAGGAAAAAACAACATTAGTTACGAGAAACTTTCTAGTAGTACGTAATGCTGTCTCACTATATATATATATATATATATATATATATATATATTATAATATATATAATATATATATATATATATATATATATATAGAATACCAAAAATTGAGAAGTAGCTCAGCATGAAAAGAAATCAAATTACCTCAGAATTCGGTGTACACGATCGGCGGATGAACCGCGCTTCATTGCCATATTTGCGGGCATCAACACACAGAGGCAATTTGGGCAGCGATTTGTAAAACAGGACAAATGGATTATAGCTAAAAGGTAACTGTAGGACAAAATATAGATACTTACTGTTTACGATAGTCATACATGTCACTGTATTCACTCAACAGTAAACAATTGCCACGATATTCAATGATTGGCGTCCGAGGATGTATATCTTCACTTGCTATGAGTCCCTAAATAAGTGAACATTAATTTTAATTAGATATCAACTTTGAACGAAGTCAAAATCAGTTTTACAGTAAATACAGACGAAAATGTACATCAGTTCATTCTTACCCTGCGGTTAAAATCGAAACTGACAACTTGATAACGAAATAAGCTTTCCAAATTAGAAGGAATTTCTTCATTTGAAATGCCATCTACATCGCCAAAATCTGCTGCCATACCGGTGAAGAAAGGAAACATCAAATCTAGCTTCTTACAAAGACGATCTGAAAGATGTAAACTAGAGGCTTCTTCATATATATCCGACGTTGGAGACATCAAAGAATCCGGTGTTGAACACAAAGAAGTGGTATTACGTGAGTCACCTATTTGAGCAAATGTGTTGTGCACCTTATTATTGGGACAGTCTGAAATCAAACGGTGAACAACACTACTATGACGAAGCTGTAATTTACTATCCTGTCCAGGAGATGGACGATCAACTTGTGTTTGGCAAACAGATTCTGAATTTTCCGCGAAGCAGTTTCTTGCGTCCACAGGATAGGATGTTTTGACACTAGGAAGATCATCATAATCGTCTGAAACTGGCGGTGAACTTGTAAACCCTTCTAGACCTACATTTGCAGACGATCCCCCAGCAACTATATAAAAAAAATAACAATCAGATATGATGAAAGTACCAGCGTATTTTGATGATCGGAATAAATTTATTTGTATTATCATTCAACCGAAACTACCTCAATAACTAAGCTACCATAAAAACGATTAAAATACTACAGCGGTCAGTTATAGGAAAAGATGTTGGATAGTTGATGGAAACAAATTTTAGAAGTTTTATGTGATTATGATCTAAGTCGTGCTCGAAATGTCAGCTAACAGATAAGTCATTGTGCACTAACAGACCATCTATAATGTGTATTTGTCATAGAAATGAATATAATGTCCTATTTAGTTATAAAACTGCACTCTGCTCATAATCAGACCAAAAGTTCCGTCTCTCAGTCGTATTAATTGCATTTCTCTAATTTAAAATGCACTACTTTGCTGCATATGATGTATTAGTTTCACAGATGCTTGGAAATGGTTCCAAAAATTAGAAATGATTGACCAGAATTAGAGAATTTCATAAGTGGAAATGAATTTGGTGTTGATTTGGTGGGTAGTAACTAGCAGTGGACTCCAGGATGCATATTCTGTACTATTTGGGACTCATCATCTGGATGTACTTGCATTTTTTAGCCAGTGATTGTTTCCACTGAGGACCGAACCCAGTATCCATTGTTTCGAACACCAAAGAGTTATCCGCTAGAGCACTTGTGCCACGAGACCCACCTCCCGTGCAACGTGTGTCAGTTGTGATTCACTTTTAATGTAATTTTGATTTCCCCGTTGACTGACTGAACCAAAATGTTCGGCCTTTGCTGACATCCGTACAAGAAGCCGACATGTCAACGGAGGCCAAACATTTCGGTCTAACTAATCAACAGGAAAATCCAAACTAAAATAAGTAATTTGAAAATTGTTGAATAATGCATTATATATATATATATATATATATATATATATATATATATATATAAAGATTTACGTTGACCGAGTCTAAGATCCTACGATCAACGGTCATTCGGCATCTGATTGGTGCTCAAGAAAAACAAGATGGAAGAAACAATGTGGACGTATAATAATAATAATAATAATAATAATAATTCCTCACTCTGGTATCAGGTTAGTCAACTATGTCAACCCCCTTAGTTATCACGTAGTAATCAAGTAGGCTACAATGGATTGCTTTCTGATGCGAGCTCAGTGTAAGCGTTAAATGTATGTATGTAATGACAGAAAGACATTTTGGTGCCAAGCGGAGGCACGAAGCGCTACGCTGACAGATATCATCAGTGAAGGTAGGGGATATACCTGCCTGATCCACAAAAGAGGTAGTCAATAATGTTAGTAATGTCTCAACTACTGGACAAGTTAACCACTACGGCTTAGCCCCTAAACAGTGGTTGCAACATATACTAGACATAGGAATTCACCATATTTCTGACTGCTAATTTTGGCTTCAGAATGGAAGGGAACCATATATGACCAGGACCAACACATGACACTAAGATACGAAGTCTATGCATTTTGATCTATCCTCTTACAGTGAATTTCAAAGAATACAACTTGGGTGTGTTTGTTGCAGTTAGCCTTCCTACATTCGGAAAGAAATTCACAAACACGACTACAGCTGTATAATTTACCTTGCGAGTCAAGTTTGGCACCTTTACAACAATTAAACCGGATTTTATACATGTTTTGTGGAGAAATTTCCACATAAGCAAACTGTGACGACCAGGTAACATAAAAAGTACACTTCAAATCACGAAAAGTCATAAAAAGTCTATATTCTTACGTGTGAGTAGATCTTGTTTTCGTTTAGAACTTCGAACAGGTTGCGCGCATGGTGTGTAGCTTGGAGGACGAACTGCAGTAAAAGGGCTATCTACACTAGAGCAATTGGAAATAACGCTGAAATCACCACACTGTATGCCTGATATTCCTTGATTGGTTGGAAGACATAGGTGAACCTGTCGAGATGCCGTGCCTCCGAAAGGGGTCGAGACGTAAATGCGTCCTTGAGGAGTATTTGTAGTAAGTGGTGTGCGGGATATCCGAATGCTTGAATTTGGGGTTGACACAACACTGCCATACGAAGCCACTTTAGGACGCGGAAGTGTAGCAGGTTTTGGGTGTGACTGGCATGTTTCGCAAACATATGGATTCGACAAATGTCCTTTGTTAACAGATGGGATACATTCACTGTGGTGCCATATTCTGTAAAATAAATAATCGAGTTTCAAAAATCACAGAGAAAAAACGTCGCACCTACTAAAGGGACAGCCTTACCTGCAGTGATTACATTGGATGAGAAAACCACCCAGGTTTGGGTTTCCACAAATACACCTGACAGAATCACCAGCATCAGTGGACAGTTGACGTGGAGCAGAAGTAGCAATTTGAAGTGCAGGTGCACCAGTGCGCAATACTACATGCGGAGTGAGTGAAGAAGTAACCCGATGAATTTGCAAAGGAGGATTTATATTTCCACTAGCTGAAAATAAAATGGTCCGACTTCCCACAGACGAAACATAGCTAGCTGTAGTAACTAGCAACTGGCCATTACTAGGAGCCGGTTGAGCTTCAGAATTGCATATAACAGAGCGCTTAGTAGGCGATAAAATGGGGTTTACTTCAATCAAACCCACAGTTTTGCTAACTGGCACAGACACTGTATTTTCTCCACTGACCCAGCTAGTCTGTGAATCTGAATGTAGAGCATTAACACTTCCCCCCATACTATTGGGGCTATTATCCTTGGCTAGTGCTAGTTTCGCTAGAAGAGACAGGCGGTCATCAGACTCAGATCCAAGTTTTGGATTCGGTTCACAAGACGCATAGTTATGATCCTGAAACTGGGTTATTGAGCAAAAGTAACTCACGTTATATGGAAGACCCCAGCAGCTTTCCGACTCACCATAAGTTACGGCATGAAAAGGATAATCATCTGGGTCAGAATCAGAACTAAACTTAGGTGAACAAACTCGAAAACTCACTTCTGGTAAGAAAAACAAACCACACGTTTGTTCAGTTTCTGTGAATCACTGGGAGAAGTTTCTGAACCGTCAAGATTTATTTCTATTGTTCGGCCAATATCAGGTGGTTGGTGGGAGTAGTCAATGCATTCAACGGGAGAATCTGGAGTATCCTCAATGATTGTGTCCGACTCCGAAGAATCAATAAAGGAATTATTAGGTCGACTGAAATGTGATAGGTTAATGGCATTATGTCGACGTGGATGGATGAGAGCATCCATCAAGTTTACATGTGACACTAGACCTAAAATGGGAATTAAAGAGAACAATTTATATGGAAAATGCCAAATGCTCAAGTTTTGATAAAATGCTCAATGTACTATGCACTTAACGGTAGAATACCAAGAAGTCACACGAAGTTTATAATTTACATTAGACGTAGTGCACTTCAAGCATGAGAGAATTCTTTCATACACCAGTAACTGGTGTGGACATATCACAAGACTAAAAGTATTGCATTTTATGCGTGAAGCCAACGTCAAGCACTTTATAACTCTATTGATACACACATCATGAGACACGACTCAAAAATTTAAAACAATGCAATTTTCAAGTCTGAAATAATGAAATCAACTTCATACAATTACAGTATTTAAGTAAAAATTACTAAACACATGACAATTTTTCAATTTTTTAACCACATTTGTGCATTGTCAGTGGGAATGGCAAGTGCAGTAATATTTAAAACATAATAAGGAATTCTATTTCTTAATGAAATGACTTACCTAACATTCCTAATCAGCCAAAATCATTCATATCTCCATCCCAAACAAAGGGATCCATGCAATCAAATTTTCCGCCCACTTTGCTCTGGCAACAAATCAAACAACCGTCGTCAATGGACTCACAGCCAAGTGACGTACGAGATAAATATATTACTCGAAGCTACAATTATTGTATTAACAATGTTCTAAATATGTTTTGACCATTCTCGCTGTGATTAATTAAGTTCATATATTCAAGTATCATGTTTGTTGTATGTTAACCAGTTCACAGTCTTCGGAATACAAAATTTGACACTGCTAACTTGGTAAATTTTAAAATCTGATAAAAACACATAGTAAAAGAATCGCTTCCTGCCTGAGGTTGCCAGAGGAATTACTATACCCATTATTTGGCAACATTGCACGCTCTCTGGAAAAACAGATTCAGAAGAAAACTTTACTTTCTAGACGATCCAGGTTTGATCTGCCTTGACTCAGCAACTTTCTTTATTTTACTTACAATAAACACACTTGGCGTGAACAAGAATATACGCTCACTACAGTACTATTGTGTTGGCCTGCTTGCATAAAGCCAAAGAGTGAGTTCGCAATTCGTCTGAGTCTGTTAAATTAGTATATATTTTCATGAGTATTAGTGTTGTTATTTCTTGATATTATTACTGTGGAGCAAATAGCTTTGAAGTTATTGCCCACTGTAAATTTCAAAGGTTAACTACACTGGACCCCACACTGTCCTTGGAAGACTTTCAGGAACTATGCGTAATGACTAACAATAACACCAGAACAAAGATTGGTGAGGTAAAAACCGTTTATTCTTGCACCAATACAGAGTTAACCAATAGGTTATTGTAAACAAAGTCTAAAAATGAATGTCATAACAATAAATCACGATAATGCTTCTGACAGTTTTCTGTCTTCCACTGAACAGCGAACGATGAGACGATGACTGCTGGATTGGTGAATCCGCGAAAAATATGGAGGAGTTGGGTTTGAGCAAACAACCATGAATTGATCGTTCAATCTTCAACTACATTGACACTCCTCGGCTAAAAAGTGATCCAACCCCTTTTTTCCACCAAGACCAATACACGTTGACCTGCATGCCATTGCGAGAACCTGGGTCACACGGACAAAGCTGAAATGGAAAACAAACAGCAAAGACAACAACACAGGCATACTCACAGCACAATCTCACACATCGATGATGACCTACGCCTTCCAGTTAAAGGCATCCTCTTGACATCTTGCAACACAATCACCACTTGCAAGAATGACTCTTGCAGAATGCAAAGTGACCATGGCAGCACCTCACGATACTCTACGCACATCCTCTTATCTACCCATTACCAATTACCACTGCAATCGCTTGTCACTCATTCTGCCTCAGTTCTAGTAACGGTGACGTATGCAAGCCTCAGTCGTGTACACTCTCGCTACCCGGCGTGTGGGACCGCAGCTAACAATTATCTCTGTGTGCATTTCATTCTCAGCAATAGCCTCCCCGGCGTATACGACCCATCTGCTCTCTTTAACGTCAATCAATTCATTCACGGATGTGGAAGATTCGAATCAGCTTCAGAAGTAAGCACGACGAACGATTTAGCAAAATTGAGCATAGCAACAAGATACGAAAACAACAAGTAAACACAGTGAATCCAAAAAGCACCAATTGATATGACACACCACACGTATTTACACACAGTACAGATAACCTCCCAGATCATGTCTTGATGGAACTCCCTTGAAGAATCGCAGGACTTACACCAGTACACTTCCAACCCTTCTCATGTTGACGATTGTAAGTTTTAGAATGTCTGGACACAAACAAGATTAACCAACAGATAGATGAGAGATGATACCAATTCAGTATATACAACATGAACATATGTACAATATAGTACACCAAGTCCGATGGACTGTGCTTCGACGTACTACCCTTGTAGGATTGTAGGACTTACAGCAGTACGCCTACATTCCTTCTCAGGTTGACGCCCTAGGTTGGCAAATCGTCGTTGAGTTCATTTTGTGACATCCTTCCACCGTCTATATCCTCAACTCTGAACGGTGACATACCCATGTCAATATATCGTAGAACATAGATGACTAACAAACATACGACGTATTTGACCAACCAAGTGCAGGCACAGAGTAATTTACACCAAAGATAATAGCATTCAAATAGTAACTTGAAACTTGAAAAGCCCTTATTCGTGCAAGTCAGTTTAACAATTACCCTCTCATACACAGTTGGCTCAACCTCACTAAACTGACCATTGACATTCGTCCTTTCAAACAGACCGATACTAGCATAGTCATAGCACAAGACGCCTAAGTTCATGGACGTCCCTTTCATTAGGGATGACAACACCAAAGTTCACTAACTGATAACAGCCTATGATCTTAGTGGTGCATCAGAAGCTGTTGTTTTTCGACCTCTAGAAAGTTTTTTAACAGCCAAATCAATACCATTGTTATCATTTACCATAAGCAACAGTTCAGCTTTAACTTCTAACGAAAGTTGTGCTACACGCTTATCATTAGCACCAACGGTCTCATTAGTATCCATACCTTCTTCAACCGCATCTGCCTTTAGGTCTACTTCACTTTCAAGCTGTAAAAAACATTTGTTCAACTTAGCAGTGGTAGACACTCCTCTCATCTCATCATGATCAACCAAAGACAAATGTGCTCTTTCATGACCATTGTAATAAATATCCACTTTACCGCCGTTCGTATGATCAACTTCATCATCTTTTAGCTCTTTAATAACAGCAGTAGACAATTTGGGTTCTTACCCACAAATCCATACAGGTTCTATAGCTTTACTCTGACTAGTAATACCTTGTAAACTTGTGGAGTTACAACTGGAATCTGGAACTGTAACTCTCTTCTTCTGCACAAACTGCAGTGTCGTCTGTGACACTCTATTCAACAATGGCTTACCAGTTGTAACTACAGGCTGACTCACCACACAATTATCGTCACACGGTTCGTAGTCAGACCTTGATGACGCTGATTTCACATTTAGCTTACCACTAAACTTGCTCACTGATTCACAGTTCACCTTCGTATGCACCTCTTGCAAACGGATAAAACACAACCGCGTTTGTCTCCCAACCTGTAACCTGTTTGTTGGGGATGTCCCACGAAAGGTGTTACACTCACTAGGTCTATATGCATTACTAGAGACCATACAGATTTCTCGATATCAACAACTCTGAGACCCCTTCGTCATAAGTGATTGTGTTTTGCTCTCAGACTGCTCTATTCTAGGGGTGGGATGCAATATACTGGCAAACTTGCTCATAGCTTGGTTGTCACTGTCTTGTACTAGTTTCAGGATATCATCAAATTTTGGCTCGATACCCTCATCCTCCATACGGGAGCTTATCTTCACCCACTTCCTTTGCAGTCGAGTAGGTAGACGTCTTGCTATTACTTCTAGTATAAAACTCGAGTTGAGGTCACTCATTCGATTCATCGAAATCATTCCATTCTTGTAAATTAGCAAATTATCTAAAAACTCGGTGAGTGCCTGGGAGTCATGCTGTAATTGGCCACCATTACACTTAACAGCCTCTAGTAATTTCCCTGAAATCATTCAAGGTCTTCCAAACATTTGACGTAATATGTTCATAGCCTCGTAGTAACCCTCTCTTGTCTTCATAAACTTACAGCACTGCATAGCTCTTGCAGCAACTTTAGTGCAATACCTCTGTCAATCACGTCTCATAAACCGTTAATGCCCAGCTCTCGCTACGCTTGGGCCCACGCTGTTCCTTTGAGTTTTCAGAAACGCTTAGTTATAACTGACGAAAAAACCAAAACACCGATCTGCCGTTTGATATTTCTGTATTGTTACACCAACATTTAAAAGGAATAAGCGAACTAAGGTCTGAAAACAAATATTACAATAATAAATCTCTGTATTACTTCTGACGATGTTTAACTCTTCTTTCTGAACAGCGACCGATGAGACGATGACTGTCGTATTGATGCCTCCGCGAAAATTGGGGAAGTCGATTTTGAGCAAACAACCAAGAATTGATCGTTCAATCTTCAACTCCATTGACACTCCCCGGCCATTAAGGGATCCAACCCTTTTTTCCTTCACGACCAATACACGTTGACTTGGATGCCATTGCGAGAACCTGGGTCACACGGACAGAGCTGAAATGGAAAACAAACAGAAAAGCCAACACACCATAAGCATACCCACAGTACAATTTCACACATCAATGACGACCTGCGCCTCCAGACAGAGACCTCCTCTTGAGATCTTGCAACACAATCACCACTTGAAAGAATGACTCTTGCAGAATGCAAAGTGACCATGGCAGCACCTCACGATACTCTACGCACATCCTCTTATCTACTCACTACCAATTACTACTGCAATCGCTTGTCACTCATTCTGCCTCAGTTCTAGTAGCGGTGACGAATTCAAGCCTCAGTCGTGTACACTCTTTCTCCCCGGCGTGTGGGATCACAGCTAACAATTATCTCCGTATGCATTTCATTCTCTGCAATAGCCTAGCCTCCCCGGCGTATACGACCCATCTGCTGTCCTTAACATCAATCAATTCATTCATGGACGTAGAAGACTAGAAACAACTTCAGAAGTAATCACGACGAAAATTTTAACAAAATTACGCAATAACAACAAGATACGAAAACAACAAGTAAACACAATGAATCCAAAATACACCAATTGCTATGACACACCACACGTATATACAAACAGGACAAATAACCTCGCCGATCATGTCTTGAGGGAATTCCTTGAAGAATTGCAGGACTTACACCAGTACGCCTAAAACCCTACTCACGTTGACGCTCTAGGTTGGAAAATCGTCGCAGAGTTCATTTGCTAACTTCCTTCTATGAGCTGTATCCTCAAATCTGAACGGCAACACGCCCATGTCATTGTATCGTAGAATACAGATGACGAACAAACACACGACATATCTCATCAACCAAGTATAGAAACAGAGTAATTTACACCAA